TTGTAATATACGTATATATGTGTATCATTGTATTGTTGACGTATTATTCTAAACACGTTATTTGCGATAAATATCATCACATGCCTCGGTAGTCGAAAGGATAAGATGCCTGCCCGGTAAGCAGGAGATCCAGGTTCGATTCCTGGCTGAGGTGGTATTTTTTCGCAAAATAATTACGAGTTTTCACGACTGGTTCGTGGTCGGGCCCCGCCGTGACGCACACCCTCCCTTCTTATTTTCTTATCCCTTCTTATATAACTATGATCTTTTCGATTTGACATTATATGGAATCTCATTCATTTCAGGTGAGTATATAATTCTTTTTCTCCTTTAAGGAAAACTTCTTTTCTTTTGAAACAAGCATGATGCTTAACATCATCTAATGTAAAAATAATTTCTTTACAATGCCAACAAAAAAACATATCTGCAATAAAATTTAATCCAATAGAATACGTACTAACAATGGGTCATCAACAAATACGTAATGTTTTTAAGCTTATATAGTTCTTTAAATAAAAAAAAACTGAATATTGATTACCTAAAAATTCCGGGTTCGGTACTACCTTATTCGAACGCGACGAAGACATTTTTTTGCAAATAAAGGATGCGTTCCGTTTCTCGCATGATGCGCATGATGTATTATTTATCTTTATCACTATACATTAAACTATATATTAAAGGATAAATGATGCATAATACGCATCATGCAAAAAACGGAACGCATCCAAAATGACAATAATGACCGGAATGTATATTAGTACCACACTTAAAAAAATAATTTTGCTCGATATGTATTATTGACGTTCGACACGGCCAAACTTATCGAGCTATGTTTCGCAGTGTCGTTCTGTGTCTCTCTCTGTGTCATAGATGGAAAGCACCAGTATAGACACTGTATTATACAGTGTCGCCTGTATACGTTATTGGAAAGCACCCCATGTAACTTTACGTGAAATTTTTCACTTTTCATTTTTCACTTTTTACTTTTCATTTTTCATACCTTGACATTTCACGTGAAACTTTTCACGTACAGCGATTATGTATGTAGCTTGGATGCGTGGAAAATAAAATCATGAAACATAGTTTCATAAGTTTTATAGCTAATGAAAATTATTTTATTGGTACAGTATTATATACATCTTTTAATAACAATTGTATATATACTACATACACTTAATCCTAACGCAGCCGTAATCTTCTCTAATTCCGAAGCATATTTATTAATTCCCTAGATTTACGCCTTTCCGCCACCAAGGTACATGGGGAAAAATTCACATGAAAAATTTCACATTTTCACGTTTGAGAGAGTTAGTTATGATCCCGCAAAATCGTACATAATTGTAAGTTCACGTGAAACTTTTCACGTTTCCACCCTAGGGGAAAAGTTACATGATCGACCCCTTGTTTCTACGATACATCGCGTTCGAGTCGTGGGCCGTAAAAATGGACCAATCACAATAAAATATTCTCCCCACATTCGTCGATCTGATTGATCAATTCTTGTGGCTTACAGCTTGCGACACTGACATGCAACGTATTGTAGAAGAAACCTAAAGCCTAATCTACAATGACATAACGTAAGGCTATAAGACTGTAAGACGTGGTTGTAAGAACCTACTTAAATGAATTATTTTCATATGCTTAACAACCTTACACAGTACCTAGTCACAGTATAACTGTGCTGTATAACATTGTAGACTAGGCTTTATATGACCTTAAGGCCTATCGGTGTTGCTAGCCGAAAGCCACAAGAATTGACCAATCATAGACGAATATGGAAAGAATATGATGTGATTGGCCCATTCTTACGGCTCACAACCTATGACACCGACACATGGGTTAAACGACAATTTCCCGAAAAATGGAGGGGATAATGTTGGTACCAACGAAATCTAAACAAAATAATTTTAGTTTTTATGAATTAGTAGCAAGTAGTAATCTGTTAGTTTGCACATCTTTTCTGCACGGCATATACATAATAAGTATTATATATTAGAATAAATAAGGCAAAACATAATAAAAACATAAAGTGAATTAGAATATAAAGTGAATAAAGTGAAAAACAACGATAAATATTATATACATTAATGTTATATAATAATACTATTATTATATAGCTATATATAACTATTATATAACTATTATTGACGATATATACTATTATATCAAAAAGGATTTAGCTTTAGCTCAATGACATTTTGCGTTCCACCAAGTTTTTTGTATAAGTTCAAGTCAGTTAAACGACGTTTATTCTGAACGCCTATTTTTGGTCGGTTAACAAGTTTGAACGGCGTTTAAGCAGAAGACAACGCAAAACGTATGTGCATCAGTATTTATATCAGTATTTGAGGGTATATTCAGTATATTATTTTATTAAACAAACTATATTTATTGTTGAATAATTAAAAGTTAGTACATAAATAAAGTACATTTATGACAAATTAATTTATTATTTATTTATGACAAATAAATAAAACTTCCTTTTGATCATATTTTTATCACAAAACGAGTAAAAATTAAAACTTTTATTTGATAATTATATATAAGATTATAAGTACAACAATAGTTTATAATAAATGTAAGTAATCTGGTTTTATCTTTGGTTATTCAAAAATATACCTATGATACTCACATAGAACAAAACCCTCCAGTAGACGTCCATTAGATATCGGTCATGGATATTCGAAACATCCATTAAACGGCCATTAGACTTCCAGTAGACGTCCACAAGAAATCCACAGTTCCGCTTCGTGGAAATCTATGAAATCTCTATTAGACGTCTTCCATAGATGTCTGTTAGACGTTAAGTGGATCGCTAATAGAGGGTCCATGGAGTCTCGGTAGACAACCAACACGAAACAAAAACCTTTAATAGATGTCCATAGAGGTTCATTATGGAGGTTTATAACTTCCATTAGTGTCAGTCCACAATAAGTATTTAATCTTTAAGCCGTAAGAAATTGACTAATCATAGTCGAGTATTCTTTTCATATTCGATTATAATTAGTCAATTTCTTACTTCTTAAAGCTTAAATCACCTATTGTGGACCGACACTTAGACGTCCATGAACCC